CCCAATCCTCCCCTTCCACATTGGTTCCTCCCACATCTTCATGCCCTACCCCCTTCTGTGGCTCCTCCCCCTAGGGGCAGACCCCGAGGACGTCATCATGGGGGCCTTCAAGGTACTGGACCAGGATGGGAAAGGCAGCATCAAGAAGAAGTTGTGAGTATAGCCCCGCCCCTCAGCTCCTGGCGCTGCCCCCACACCTGGACCCCTGCCCCATAGTCACTAGCCACGCCCTCATGGCTTAGCCCCACCCCGATATCCTAGCCCCACTCTTTAGTTGCTACCCCCCCCACAGCCTGGTTCAACCCCTTATCCTTGCCTCATTTGTTAGCCATGCCCTCCAACTCTGCCCCTAATTCCATGGCCACACCCCCATCCCTTAGCTCCGCCTCTAGTCCCCATCTCATCCTCTAGCCCCACCCTGCCCCTTAGTCACATGCCCCCATAGCCATAAACCACGCCCCTACACCCTACTAGCCCTGCCCCTTTTCTGGGTGGGGCAAGGGTTGCACCGCTGGCTGTGGTGTAGGGCTGGTGGAGGGGCATGAGGGGTCTCAGCGCCCCGGGGGGGTGTCTGACCCGGCCCCTCCCCCTTTTTGCCTTCCCCCAGCCTGGAGGAGCTGCTGACCACCCAGTGTGACCGGTTCACCCCTGAGGAGGTGAGAGGGCGTGGCTGGCTCTGGGGCGGCCGGGCGGAGCAGGGTCTCCCAACGCAGCCGGGTCGGGAAACCCCCACTGGTGGCACCAGAACTGGGACCCGTACTGGAGGGGACCGACATTGAGGGGACACACAAGGGTGGGGAGGGAAAAGGGGAAACACAGGTGAGGGGACACGGGTGGGTCCCTCATCCGCCACACCCACGTCCACCCCAGCCATTGGCTCCCCTCCCCCACGTGTCACCGGAACTCGGTCCCCCCCAAGCCCGCCAGGCTCCTCGCTGTCAGTTCCCCGCCCCCGTGTGTCGTGCGGACTTGGGTCCCCGCCCGCTGTTGCTGGCTCTGGGGGGGGCCGAAGTGACGGCAGTTGAGTGTAACAAGCCCCGTGTCCCCCCCAGATCAAGAACATGTGGGCCGCCTTCCCCCCAGACGTGGCCGGGAACGTCGACTACAAGAATATCTGCCACATCATCACCCACGGCGAGGACAAGGAAGGGGAGTAGAGGACCCCCCGACTGCCCCCCGGACATCTTGGGGTCCCCCCCTGGCGCCCTCTGGACCCTGCCCCCACCCCCGAGTCCGCCGGCCCCATAAACCTCTGGTTTTTTTTCATGCCCGGCCTGCTTGCCAATGAGATGATGCGGCTGAAACTGGGGCGGGGGGTGTCTAACAGGGGCGCTGGGATGCAGCTGGGTCGGGGGGGTATAATGGGGACACCGCAGTGGGGCGGGGCTGGGGTGGAGCACG